TATCTAACAAGAGATGCCCTTATCATTGAGTTCTCATCCCAGTTATAGTCAGGGGATAAGGAGTGACAAAGTGGTAGTGAGGATTGAAGTGAAGGAGTTTTGAGGTTCTTTTATAGACCTCATATCAATATGTTAAGAGAATATTGATTGCCATGTTAAAGAATTGCGGGTATGTATAGAATTGTGTGTATGTATATTGAGCAAGAGAGAATGGAACACAGGGAAAAATCCTTCAAAGCCATTCCCTGGTACTAGCAAACCCCCATCAATTAGACAGACCTGGTAATTTTGGATTAAAGAAATCCAAATATTTTGTGTCCTATTGACAATGGATCTAATAAGCTATGTGTGTGTCTGTGTGTGTGTGCATGCACGCATCTGCACGTGTGTGCTCAGTCATGTCCTACTCTTTGCCACCTCTGTCCATGGACTTTCCCAAGCAAGATATACTCGAGTGGGTTGCCATTTCCTTCTCCAGGGATCTTCCTGACCCACGGGTCAAATCTGCATCTCTTGCATCTCCTACCTTGGCAGTAGATTCTTTACTATTTCTACCACCTGGGAAAATAAGCAGTAACTTCACACATATCTCAATTATGTGTCTTGCAGTGGCTTATGACCTTAAACGAAGGCAAATTTATTAATATTCATGCATCTTCAATGTGCTGGGCTCTATGCAGAGTATTGGTGATCTACAGACAAATAAGACCCACCCCCTGCCATCAAAGAGGACCTACACTGCACCTGTTTGATGTGTTCATCTCTGTGACCCCAGGGAAGGGGTCAATATTTTAGCTCTTTGATGACTTAATTTTAATAGCAAACTTAGGTTTCATCTATCTCTTACAAAATTTTCTCTGATTTTTGACAGCTTGCTTGTCATTTGTGTCTTTTGATGCTTTACCTTGAGTTATTTTGGAGTTTGCATTTGATACAGATAAGTATCCAATATAAAATATTCATTAAGTGAATATAGAAATAATCACATTTTTTAAATGCCTCAAAATGAGAGGTCAACTGGTTTTGCAGATTTCACAGGAAAAAAGTACACATCTTGGTATGTATGTGTGCACCAAAATGCTTACAAGAATCTCATCTAATATATATTTTTAAGAACATAAGTACTTTTTCAGCTAAAGATCTTAGGTTGACTTGAATCAAATTTGACTTACATTTCCAGTGCTTAAAGCTTGGTTTGAAGCTTAAACACTTGGGTTCAAAGTATTTTAGCATTTAACAAAAATCCTTTGGATTCCATCAAAATGGTAGATTAAGTATGCTTACTTGAATCCCCTGCCTCACAAATGGGTCTGCAAATCTATTTTAGTGAGTGTTTTACATAAGCCCTTTCTTGAGAAATGGTTAATAAGTAAATTTAAGATAATCTATTTTAGTTAGAAAAACAAAACATTTCTGAGTGTGTTTAAAGTAAGATTTGTTTTAAGGGTATTTTTCAATATCCTTGAAATCATGTAAATTAAACAAAAATGAAATTATTTTAAAAAAGAATTTTGCCCTACTAGTGCACTTAAGTGTTTTCCTTTTATATGTTAGTTATGTCTTTATGTGTTATGTATTTATTTTTTTATGAAATAATAATATTTATAAGAAAATCCATTGTTACATTATAACCAATGTTCGTAATCACAGAATGATACATACACACATCAGTGACATTTTTGTTTAGGTTTAGATTCATTTTACTCTGTGCTGTGCTTAATTACTCTAAATGACTGTAATTATTTCATCTAAAAGAGCTCATAAAGGCTTTTAAGATTAATTTGTATCAATATCCCCTGATCATAGATATAGTTCATCATCATGTATTCTAAGACTGTCTTCTACTTTGGGGGAGACCAGTGGGTTGGGTGATCATGTAGAATAATATAATTAGAGTATTGTAGGGCTGGAAAGAACTCAATGTAATCTTAATTCATTTTACATGGGTGATAATTTGGCTTATAAAAGTTAAGTGATATATATACCCTTCTAATCTTATATACAAAGATGATTTCAGAATTGTTAAACCTGGAGATGGCAATTGGGATAAATTATACATAATTAGCAAGGAGATCAAACCAGTCAATCCTAAAGAAAATCAACCCTTAGTATTCATTGGAAGGATTGATGTTGAAACTGAAGCTCCAATAATTTGGCCACCTGATGTGAACAGCTGACTCATTGGAAAAGACCTTGATGTTGGGAAAGATTGAAGGCAGGAAGACAATGGGGCGACAGAGGATGAGCTGGTTGGATGGCATCACCAACTCCATGGACATGAGTTTGAGCAAACTTTGGGAGATAGTGAAGGACAGGGAAGCCTGGCATGCTAAAGTTCATGGGGTCACAAAAAGTCAGACATGACTTAGTGAGTGAACAATGAACAATACATAATTATCCCCAGTGAGTCTTTTACCAACCACCTATCATCTTCCCAGAATGCAGTACAAGAACAAAATACCAGGCTGCCTGTAGGAGTTATGGATGGGTAGTATGGTTGATGTGAATCTATGGTGTGTTCTCCATCACTCATAGAACACAAATGATGCTGAGAGCTCACACCAGAACCCAAAGCAACAGGAAGAAGATGGCCAGAAGGGGATAATGAATAACTCTCAGGAGATGATGTGCTGATTTTATTCTTGCAAATATTGACTGAGTTCTATGGCTTGAAGATTTGTGTCCCCTCGAATTCATATGTTGAATCCTAACCTCCAAAGTGATGATATTTGGAGACGGGAACTATGGTGGTTAGATCATGAGGGGAGCACCCTCATGAGTGGGATTAGTGCTCTTCTAAAGGAGACACCAAAGTGCTCCCTCTCACCTCTGTCCTGTGAGGACACGGGGAGAAGAGGGTCTCTGTCTATGAACCAGGGAGCAGGCTCTCATCAGACAATGAATCTGCTGGCACCTTGATCTTGAACACCCCAAGCTCCAGCATCAAGAGAAATAAATGTTTGTTTTTCGAGCCATCCAGTCCATGTTATTTTTGTTATTGCAGCCCAAACAGACTAAGGTACTTATAAATCAAACTTCTTGCTAGAACTGACAGATGATAGTCTCTCAGAGTCAGAGGGATTCACGGCCACCTGTCAACCAAGACCAGAAAGTATAGAATGACCCAGACATGTGTAACACTTGTGGGTCCCATTACTGAGTTGGTAAATCATGGATTGGATAGGGCTCCTGACTCATGATCAATTATGATAGCATGGTATAACTTGCCTTCAAAGAGGCTGGCAACTAGGAAAATTTCTTTGAAGAGAAATTCCTCATTGAAAGTGATCAGTGTTCAGGTGACTAGTTCAATCTATTTCTTGGGTTTGAGGAGACTGAAGAACAGCAGAGAGGAGACAGACTTTAGAGGGAAGCAAACATGGATTTGAACCTTAGCTTTACTGCATGGCAGTGGTGTGTCTCATCTGTAAAATGGAGGGTAATAAGACTGCCTTTGCAACATGGTTTTAAGAGTTAGATATTTGGGACTTCCCTGGTGGTCAAGTGGTTAAGACTCTGAACTCCCAATGGAGTGTGGCGTGGGTTCAACCCCTGGTCAAGAAACTAAGATTCAACATGCCGCCTGGCACAACAAACGTGCGCCCAGACACACACACAAGAATTAAATGCTGGTAGGTGTAACATCTATAGTAAGTGCTCAATGAGTGACAGTTGTTAATTTTCCTCCCTCCAAGTGAAGGAGGACAATAATGATATAATGGTCTCTATTCTTTATGTCAGGCAAATAATCTCCAGATGCCAGGCAAAAACTTTATAAACCGTCTTTCTGAATCTTCATCATTATCTTTAGACCCAGGTATTATTGACATTTTTCATACATAAGAAACATAGATTCTGTAAGGTTAACTAGATACCAAGGTCACTTGGAAAGTAAGCTGCAGAGACAGGGTTCAACCCAGATCTGCCCCACTTATCACCACAATTCTATACTCTCTCCCCACATCCTCTGGAATCAGGATGCTGATTTCACTCTATAGATGGTCCTTCTTTCATATCTGTTTGAGCTGAAAGAGAAGCAATGATTAACTAATGAAGATGATTTTAAAAATCCCAGAACTCTTTGAGAGGCATGAGAGGGGGAAAAGCTCCAGATTTCTGTAGTTTTAGAGGGGACCCCAGGAACATTGGTGAAACTAGAAAGCAGTGAGACAGATGTTTGACTTTTAGTTTAAACAGTGGAATTTTTAGTGCTCTGTGTTTGTTTTAGAACATATTTTATAGCAGTTGCTGTTGAAATGATGGGAAGATAGAAATCTCTTTTAGCATTTGGAAGTACTTTTTTCATTTTCTTTGAGTGGCAGTGTTATGACTGGCTTCAGAAGATGAAGTTTTTAAGACATTCATGCAAACTTCCGACATTAGCTGATTTCCTTCAGCCCTGTTGTAGTAAAATTCAGGTAAACAATTTTATTCCATGTCTTCCATTAACAAGGTCAAAAGATTAAAGCATACAAGGCCCTGTTCCTTTTGTTCTAACAAAGCATTTAGCTGGGATTACATTTACCCTTGGGGTTTTCTTGCTTCTTAAAAACTGTCCTGATTTCCTTGGTTGACGTTGTTTAGTGACTCTTTGTTACCTGGACTTGCAGCTTGAGATAGTGGTTGAAGGGGAGTCTGAAGGCTCTTTCTTCTCTGCTGGGCTCTTGTAGGTCCTGTTATGCTAAAATTTGGGAAATGGCCTGATAGCCTAATTTGTAGACTAGAATGCCAATTGTAGCACTGTACCACTGAATTTGTTACTTTGCTCATTTGTCCTTTTGTCAATGTTATTATATCTGGAAAGACAAATAACTATCAGTTAATCCATCAGAAAATATTTTAGGAATTTTTAATAAGTAGCTACTATGCTATGGAGGGGCTTCCCAGGTAGGTCAGTGATAAAGAATCCGCCTGCCAGTGCAGATGTGAGTTCGATCCCTGGGTTGGGAAGATCCCTTGCTGAAGGAAATGGCAACCCACTCCAATATTCTTGGCTGTAGGATTCCATGGACAGAGGAGCGTGGCAGACTACAGTCCATGAAGCTGAAAAGAGCCAGACACAACTGAGCAACTGAGCACACACGCACCATGCTATGGAGACCACGGCAGTTACAAGGAAGTGTCGTAAACGCACTGTGCTATGGAGACCACGGAAGTTACAAGGAAGTGTCGTAAACGCACTGTGCTATGGAGACCACGGCAGTTACAAGGAAGTGAAATGAGCAAAAGTTGCAGGAAAGACAGCTCATGTCTGATGATGGTGATGATGATCACAATAACGACAGTGATGATGATGGCGGTTAACTATCAATTACTGAGCATCTTCCGTGTATCAGGACCAAGAATCTGCCTGGTTCTAAAACTCCTACTCTCTCTTACATGCCCCACTTCTTTGTATCTGCTTCAGTGCTAAAGAGGGGCTTCTCTGGTGGTACAGACAGTAAAGAATCCGCCTGCAGTGCAGGAGACCTAGGTTCGATCCCTGGGTCAGGAAGACCCACTGGAGAAGAAAATGGCAACTCACTCCAGTATTCTTGCCTGGAGAATCCCAAGGACAGAGGAGTCTGGCGGGCTATAGTCTATAGGGTCACAAAGAATCAGACATGACTGGGTGCTAACACACACACAGTGATATGGGATGGCAGATAGTGTGTAGGTAGCTCACTTTAATGTTCCCTGGGTAGAAAGTAACAGGGTCGGGGACACTAGTGATGTGACATCAGAAATATGAATTATGTCCCTTCACCGCTCTAAGCTTTATTTTCCTAGGAATAATTTTAACTATGAAGTATCAAAGAGGCTTCTGCAAAGAACCAGGTTCATGGAAGACGTTTCAGAACTGGTAATGATTATTAATATTATTACTATTATGAGATATAGCCTTGCTCTCTAAGAAGTCTTAGTAACGTGGAAGGGAGTTTTAAGAAGAATATGGTCAACAGCGGTAAGTGCCAGAGAAAGGCCAAAACTCGAGGATAATAAGAACAGGTAGCATGTTCCGTTACCATGGAGTTGTTAGAAAAGGCATTCAGGGAGGTCACGAGGCTGGACCAACTGGAAATCCAGACACCTCTTCCCTGTGCATGCAGTGTCTTAACCAAGGTCATGCAGCATGTTCTGTTTTCTCACTAGCTTCACACTGGACCGCGCTAATTCTGATTCCCAGAGCCTTACTTCCCCGTCTTTGGGTGGCTGTGCCTATATCCCTGCAGCAGACTCAGATCACTCCGTGCATCCCACTCTGTCGGAGCGGCAATCCTCACCACAGCTTCCCTTCTGCCCAGGAGAGGCTGACTGTGTTCCCAGAGAAGCCATCAGCAGCCTTAGCCTCTGGGTTTGTGAGTGAGCAGAAGACACTTAAAGGTCACAGTCCACTGAAGGCTGCCCCGGGAGACTGGACGGGGGGAAACTTCTCCCCGGTGACTTGCTGAACTGTGGTCCTCATTAGCTTTGTTTTCTAGCTTGCTAACAGCTGATAGAGAGGCAATAAAATGCTGCTCGGTTTTGCAGAGACAATTGTTCCAGCAAATTTCAGTGCTTGCTTTGGTCTTTGTTAGTTTGGGATAAATTTAAATTATGTAAACAAAATCTTCCTTCTCCTGAATATTTCATCTTTTACGTTTTCCCCTTGATTGCTCTAAACTTGAATGAGAGCAGCACTGGGGCGCAGTCAGACACCCCTTGATTGAGGCATCTCAAAGAAGGGCTGAAAAGCATCTCAGAGGTGATTTTTAACTAATCAGTTAACTAATTAATTATCTCACAGAGTTTAAGAAATAAGTAATACTTATTTTCAAATAGAATGAAATGGTAAATAGTGAAAAGTATGTCTCCTTTCCTGATTCCTTTTCCCATTTTTTTTTAAACAGCAAGTAGTGGCATGATAAAATCCAATCTGAACACAGATGAAATTTCAGGTTTTGTATTATGAAAAATGAATGTTTCTACTTTATCGATGCAGTAAATTTGCAAACTGGAACATACTGAATTTGCTGACAAAGAATGACACCTGTAACTGTGCTGTGGTCAACAACCACCAAAGCAAAAGACATAGAGAAGGAGCACAGAAAGAAATAAAGAGTACATTAAAGGTGAATGAAGTGCAACATCCAGACCCTGACTTGACACCTTGAAATCCACTTTGTGATTTAAAAGTTACCATGTGACCAGCTGATGGACGAACTCATTAGGGAACTTTGGGGTGAAATGTAATGTAGACATCAGTCTCTTCCTTCAGTTAACTCTTCACAAAAACCACCTCTTGTCTGCTCCATCAGAATAATTCACAAGAGCAGCTGAATCCCTCTGCCCTAGCTTTGCAAAATAACTTCAAAAATTATTTAGAGGAAAACAGAAAAATCTACATGATCATCTCAAATTTCCAATTTCCCCAGTGGCTCAAGTGGTAACGAATCTGCTTGCAATGCAAGAGACTAAGAAGACACAAGCTCAATCCCTGAGCAGGGAAGAGGAAATCACAACCCAGTTCAGTATTCTTGCCTAGAAAATCCCATGGACTGAGGAGCCTGGTGGGTTACAGTCCACAGGGTCACAAAGAGTTGAACTCAACTGAGCATGCACACATCCATCTCAAATTTCAGGAAAGGTTTCACAGTTCCCTGGCCATCCTGACTTTCTTAGTACTTCCTAGTATGAAACTAAGAGCAGAAGAATTTGTTTATAATACTTACCCTTAGGTGTTGCTTTGAAATACCTGTTCCCATTTAAACAAACAAACAAAACATTCAAAAACTCCAAAAGTCCAAGAGAAGCCTCAAGAGTATGTCTGTGCTCCCAGGCTGCTCTCAAATTTCCTCATAAGCTTGCTCTCCTTGGGCCTGCTGGGTTTGGCCCAGAGAGGATACAAACTCGTTTCTTCTCATGGGTTTTGTTTTTCACTTATTGCAAAAGAGTATTACGAGCAAGAAGCATGCTTGGTCACTTAGTTGTGTCCAACTCTTTGCAACCCCATGGATTTTATAGTCCATCAGGCTCCTCTGTCCAGGGGATTCTTCAGGCAACAATACTGGAGTGGGTTGCCATTTCCTTCTCCAGGGCATCTTCCTGACCCAGGGATCAAATCTCATCTGTGTCGCCTGCATTTCAAGCAGATTCTTTACCTACTGAGCCATTAGGGAAGCCCACTGCGATCAAATGATCACTGGAAAATAAGCATTGCTATAAGAGATCCCATTTCAAAGTTAAAATATTTTATGCATGGATCATCAGAGATAAATTCTACCTCTACCCTACTTCTACCCCTTCATCCTCCTTATATTCTCCAGGCTTTGAAGCTTTTCTCAAATAGAACTAATAAACCAACATTAGGAACATGATTCCAACATTATTCCAACATTAGGAATAGATTTAATCTTGGGGCAGCCAGAACCAGGACTCCATCATTATGAATTAACTAATTAATAAAACAATTAACTATGTCTATCCAGTTATCTGCAGTAGTAAATAAACAATGCAGGGACTTCCCTGGTGGTTCAGCGGTTAAAACTTCACCTTCCAGTGCAGTAGGTGTGGGTTCAATTCCTGGTCAGGGAGCTAAGATCCCACATGCCTCATGGCCAAAAAACCCAAACATAAAACAGAAGCAATATTGTAACAAGTTCAACAAAGACTTTGAAAATGGTTCACATCAAAAAAATCTTTAAAAAAATAAGCAGTACGCTATGTATTTGTCAGATCAGTTAGTCGCTCCAATTCCCTACTCTCTTCTCCATAACCTAGTCCTTCTTTTTTTCCTATTTAATTTCTAAATTTATTTAAAATTATGTACCACAGCAAATGACTCTCATGGGAGAATCTTCCTAATGTGCTATGATTTAAGGACAACTGAGTGAGTTAGCAGGTGGAGAAATAGTTGGAACCAGGGGTGAGTGAATGGGTGATTGAGAAGGATGCTATGAAATTTAAACGTGGTATGTTAAATAAAAGGCTCAAAATTTAGGGAGGTCAAAGGAGTATTATAGACCTCAAAGACAGCCATAAAAGATTAAAGGAGCAGCTAAGAGATAATGTATGCAGATTCCTTAGAAAAGTGAAGACCATAACAAACCACTAGAGGTTTCCAATACTTTTTTTAAGTTAGAGGACTAAAACCACATATTGCTTCTTTCCCCAGTTTTTAGTTGCAAAAATTAGTCTACCTTCCAAACATGTTAGGAATACATGAGTTGCCCATCTGCCTTCTTTGCTATTTATTGAGAAAGATTATGTTCAGAGTCATTAGAAAAGTAATTCTCCTTTGATTTTTCAAGAAAATCCCAGGTGTGACCTGCACATTGATAACAGTGAATTTAGTTTGCTGGCAAGAACCGAATTGGATTTTGGTTGTATTTTTTAAGTAGAATTGCTATACTTGTTTCTTTTTTCAAGGACAGATTCAAATACCTTTTCCCTGCTGTCCATGACTGTTACTCTGATGGGAAACTCCACTAGAATAGAAATATATTTTAGGTAGCAAAAAAACAATTGACAAATATTTTTAAGGAATCTACCTGTGGGATCAAAGTAACAAATTCGACTCTGAAAATGTATTCTTGGATTAATCCCCTAATCTCTGTCTCAATAATAGTACCTGAGAGAGACTGAGTGATTATGCAAATCAGCTGCTGGAAATTAAGTTACTTTGTTTAAATTGACTAGTTCTGTAGTGGAATTTAATCACTTGAACCCTGGCATTATTTAAATACCAGATAGCATGATCCAATGGTACAAACTGTCAATCATGTACTACCCTCTATTTATTAATGTTGCCTGGGTGATGCTTTGCCCTGAGGTAAAGATAATCATTTCAATTGGTCAATACAAACAATGGGCTTTATTTGTTAAAGTAATTTGAGAGTGAAAAAAGGAAATTATTATGAAACATATATTGTCATATAAATTTGTATTTGAACTAAGCAGTGGGCTCTGGGTGATAGCCTAGTACAATATTAATAGGTTCTCTTTAACTTGAGTACAACGTACAAAGAAGAACTTTTGCCCAGGAGATAAACATTTGAAATAACTCCCAAAGTAAATATAAAATGACCACCACAGAAACAAAAGTGTGAAGATATTGAAACTTTTCTTTTGAAATATTTAATACAATTCAATGAAAATAACCGCCTCTAAGGGACTTTAGAAAAATGTGCATATTAATAAAAACTGGAAGGAAATTTGCAAACATGGAAATAGTCATGTTGGGGTGGAAAGATTATGGATAGGTTTTTTTCTCTTTTATTCTCCCCAATTTTATAAATTGTTGTAATAAAAAGAAAATGGCTCAATTGTGCTCTTGGTTCCAGGGTTTGATTGATAGAATCAGAGAGCTCTGGGTATCTGTTTGTTCCCTGTAATAGTCTACTGTCTGCAGAAACCATTGTGGGATTTTTATTAAGACCTGGAGGAAAAGAAGGAGTGTGTGTGTGTGTGTCTGTGTGTGTGCTTAGTTCTTTCTTATAAAGCTGTCTTTTTTTGCTGCTTGAAAGAGTATTTTATTTGTATCTATTGTCTTTCTTTCCTTAGATGCCTGTTCTCTAGGAGAGCTTGCTGAAAAAAGAATCCCCAGTCAATAAGAAAAGTACTCTGGTTATAAGTAATTATGTTTTCCTATTCTATGTCATTGTTTTTACATTTGTAAAACCAATATTATATTCTGCACAAAAACATATGATTGCTACACACTTCAGCAAACTTTCTAGGTTAAGATAACTTTAGACTTAGTAGGTTTAGGTAATTTTCAAATCATACACAAAATATCAATACAATAATAAGATAGTACTTTGTGTATCTTCTACAAATAGTCATTCTAAGATAATGATTTATGGCCTTATATTTTGAAGTAGTGTTGAGAGAGAAGATATATTTGAACAGTGGATGAAGTGGGGAAATATGTACTCAAGACTTTGCTACTCTTCATCTCCCAGCAGGTTTTCGACTACATTTCCCCATCTGTGCAATGGCCCAAATCTTGCCCTGACTCAGAGGACTGCTGTGAAAATGCTCTGGGAGGATGGACTATATTGATAGTTTTGTGCGGTTTTTTTTGTTGTTGTTGTTTTTTCTGGTCTCTCTGCAAATCACAAGGAAGAATTTGCCACTCTAAGAATAGGTCCTGCGCATCTTAACTCTCTCTAGCAGGTATTCTAGTCCAGAAAACGTGAGGTTTCATCCCCCCTTGTCCTGGGATTCACAGACATGGACCTGTGTGCGACCAGATATTCCTAAACCACCAAGAAAACTCGTCTCAATGAATCATGATGTTCACTGAAGCCCGAGGGACCACACAAAGACACTATCTCGGGTACTGAGTCTTTCCAAATGAAAGCTCCTTGCTGGCACGGGACTGAATTGCTCTCTTGCAACAGTATTCCATCCACCAAAATGCCTCTGGAGAACCTTTAGTTTATTGTCATCTGTGGAAAATAGGAAGCCT